AGACCAGGAAGAGCCAGGCACGAGAACCCGCTCCAGACACAGAAGCTCGGAGTGATATCCAGTAATAAGAATAGGCAAGCCAGCTCAACCTTCAATCACTGATATCGGAGTGATCTACCCGAGGAAAGCCAGGTACAGGACCCGCTCACAGGCACGGAAGATCGGAGTGATATCCAGTGATTAGAATAGAGGAACTGAAAAAAAAAACAGCCCAGAGAAAAAAAACTGCGGCAAGACAAAAAAAAGCGCCGCTCGCGGGGTCATTAGGTGGCTCAGCATTCTGTCACGGACGTCCAAAGGGACTAACCCGGGCTCATTAGTGCAAAGAGTTCAGGAATGCCGTATAGAAACCTATGCCCTCAGGGAGCGGACGTGGGGCGCCCTGGTGCTAGGCGGGTCTCAGGACATCCGAACATCAATGCTGAGCGAGGACAGAGTGCAAGACCCGGAAATATATAGCCCAAGGGAAAGAGAGGGACAGGAAGGACAGCAGACCAGAAACTAGGGAAAGGACAGAGAAGGAGCGCCCTCTGGCTGCAGAGGGCGTGACAAAAATGCTGTTAATGCACTTTAAAAGCTGTTTATTAAAATCAGCTACTTTGCTAGCAGTACATGACTTCTCAAAAGGTTCCTTTTGTTTCTTGTGCAAACTCAACAAAGGTTTAATTTTTATAATTTTGAAATTTGAACGATATGCCTTAGGGACTCATTATAGTATTGTAGCGAATATACTTTGTGCAGAAAAATCAAAATACCACCCCCTCCCAGCCAGGTCTGGCCTCCCGCTGTTCCAAAGCCCTATGGTTTCAAAGTATGTGTGAAATACTTTTTTTACTCCAGTTATAAATTCAATCTATTTCTACTCATCCGGCTATGTAAAAAATATAGCCAATAGGATCACTGTAAAGGTTAAATTCCAAACTGAAAAGACAAGACTCAACGCGTCTTCTCTAACTCTTCAGTTTACGAGCTGTCAGTGGTCATTCATTATTAATATAAATGGCAGGTATACAGATGGTACAAGCTGGTTGCAGCGTGGTGACAGTACAGCCCTCTACTCTCCTGCGCATAACAGGGATGAAGGTCTTCTGTAGTTCAGCTGGCAAAACCTCTGTTGAGCGATGCAGTAGGCCCGGTTTTGAGCCCGTGTGAGGGTTATCAGAATACAAGATATATAATCACAAAGAGATACAAACAAGGAATATACTTCAGTATATTATTCAGCTATACTATATCGTTAATCAATCTTATGAATATAACTTCTACATTAGATACTCAGAAGTAAATACATTACTTATGAATTAAATTGACATCAACTTGTGTTGTAGACCTCTCTCTAGCTAGCGTCTGGGGTGGGCTTGGAAAAAGAGTCTGTGCACAGAAACGTGACGTTGTGGTCCAGGGCAAGTCACTCTAAAACGGGAAGAAGAGCGGTTCATTCCCGGCATAGTGCTACTGCTAAATAAAACTTATTCAGATTGTCGACAAGAGTCCAACCGTATGTCGCTCCAGTGACCACATGGGTGTTCACAATGGCGCCAGCAAATTCACGAGGTCTTTTGCTGCAGGCCAGACCTCGGGCAGATCTGTCTTGACACGCAGGCTTCCCCCTGGCTCAGCTTGGAACAATTTTGCATGTCCCACACTCAGACAACAGTGGCAGTCACGTGATTAAGTCTGAGAGACCAGAGGCCAGAGGAGCAAGGTTCTGAGACTGAGTTCTGAGTTTGGCGGGCACTTGAGACCCATGCCCTGCAGGTTCCTGATTGGTTGGTCAACTGTAGGAAAGAGTAACATTGACCTCTTGACCTTTGGACCATAAACCAGGTGTTGTAAGGCCTAAATGGGCCTGAGCAGACATCCCGGCACCAGGGTTGCCCACCCATTATGATAGTTGGAGAATCCCTCAACTTGGGAACCTGGGAAGAAAACACTTTAAATCAGAAACATAATAGGATGGCCTCTGTGTTTCCTGCACCACAGAGATGAGAGAGAGAGGGGCTTCTGGGAGTGGCACAGTACCCCTTAATTCTGTCTTATTAATAAGCATTGCCACTACGTACATAACCCATTTTATTGTATAAAATACTCCCAAAATTTATGTATAAAACCTGTATACTGTATACTGGTACTTTTCCCAGACTGAGAATACAAATTATTTAAACATTTTGACATGCAATGATAAGGAGTAGGAAACAAAATCTGGTTCTGTAATCTTCAGAACTGTTCTTTTAAAAGTTACCAACCTTTTGTCTGATTTCCTGTGACACCTTTCCCAGGATTTAGTATTTTGAAAAAAGCACACTGTTCAGAGAAACTCTGAAGGGAATCAGTGTTTTCCCAATGGATCAGGAAAGGAGCTGAAAATACCCCTTGTTTTACTTTTTTCCTTCATGCTGTCCTTTTGTGTTGCCCGTCACAGCTGCAGGCTCCCAGTGTGAAGGGGTTTGATTTTGCAAAGCTCCACCTGGGGCAGCACAACAAAGATGACATTCTGGTGATCCAGGAGTCTGCTCCACTGCCAGCGCCGGTGAAGGAAGTGACTCCATCAGAGAGTGGCGATGTGCCCAGTCCCAAATCCAAAGCCTCTTCCAAAGTTTCACGGGGTGCCAAGCGGAGGGGCAGGTGAGTCAGAAGCATTCAGTGGACTTGACATGCGCTTAACATAAGGATTTAAGGTTCTTTTGAGCCTTAAAGAAAATGGGTAGCCACTGTTATCTGAAGAATCATATTTGAAGAATTTATTTTTTCTACTTGTATGCACACTTATCTTAGACATGCTCTGAAACTATTTTATAAAATGGTTGATAAATCCATGATTTGCTGGGATTAGATGAAAAATCTGTTTCCCAAAAGGCATTTATAACTATAGCAATAGAAATACAGTGGTTTTCAATCAAATTACATTTTGTCAGTGCATACAATAATTATAAGTTTAAAGATGAAATTGCAATTTGAACTTTGATATTTTTGTATTAATTGAACATTTCATTAATATTAATTTAACATATTAATTGCTAATCATTTAAGAATCTAGACATCATAAATAGAACTCGGATGAAAGTTAGCAGGTGCAATATGCTTCCTATTTATTTTGAAGCTACTGAATGGATAATGTCACAATTTTGAGACATACATTAGTTCCACTAAACCTACAGTAAGTTAACCTTTTATTATTTTAGTAAATTTGAAAGCGAATGTTTCTAAGTGGAAGACACTTTTAGATTAAGCAAAGTCTGCATCATGCATTCAGGAACTGTAGTATTTATTTTGCATATGAATGCAGCCAGTAACCATATAACTTTGCAACTCACACCTGGCAACCCACTGAAGCTAAGTAGGTGTGAGCCTGGTCAGTACCTAGATGGGAGACCTCCTGGGGAAAAGTTGCTGCTAAAAGTGGTGTTAGTGGGGCCAGCAGGGGGTGCTCACCCTGCAGTTCATGTGGGTCCTAATGCCCCAGTATAGTGATGACATTATACTGTAAACAGGTGCTGCCCTTCGGATGAGATGTAAAACTGAGGTCCTGACTCTCTCATTAAAAATCCTAGGGTGTTTCTTGAAGAGAGTAGGGGTTTAACTCCAGCATCCTGGCCAGATTTTCCATTGGCCCTTACCAATCGTGGCCTCCTAATAATCCCCATCTATGAATTGGCTTCATTACTCTGCTCTCCTCCCCCCTGATAGCTGATGTGTGGTGAGCGTTCTGGCGCACTACGGCTGCCGTCGCATCCTCAAGGTGGATGCTGCACATTAGTGGTGGTGGTGGAGGGGAGCCCCCATTGCCTGCTTTGAGTGAAGTGTCCAGAAAAGCACTTTTACAGAAAAGTGTAAGCAATTACTAATTATTATTATTATGTTTATAGAACAAATCTTAATTTTGCTTGGACACCTTGTGAAGAAACAGTTTTTGCTAAATCTTAAAAAAGAAAGGAGAACATTTTAAATATTTCTCTCAACATTCAGGGTGAATTGTTAGGTGAATTGTTAGTTGCTCTGATTATCCGGATCTTAGCAGATTCCTGTACTCCAGGGAGAATGAGTAAGCACAAACAAGCCCATCCAACCTACTATCCTATTTAATAATTAATCTTTTGACATACTGTACTAGATAGATAAGACTTTATTAATCCCAAAAATTGATGTTGGAAATTGATGTGTTACAGCAGTCCAGCCCATGACAAGCAAAAAAAGACATCAGAATAGTTATAAAAACAGAAGACAACAAAATAAATATAAAATAAATAAATTAAAGAATAAATAAATACATAGGTGTGTGCAAAATGTGATGATCATAGTCACTGTAGAAACAATAAAATATCTGCAAAATGTGCATCTGTGTTTATACAGACTGATTGTCCAAAAAGTACAATGGAGCAAACACGCTGTCCATAGACGAGCAAATGAAGGGCTAACAGTCCTAGCCTAGGGCAGCGTTATACACCCTGACAGTCGCCGGGAGTAAAGACCTACGGAAACGTTCCCTTGAACACCGTAGCTGGAGCAGTCTGTTGCTAAAAGTGCTCCGCTGCCCAGTAACAATCCCATGAAGCGGATGAGAGGCGTTGTTGATGATGGCTGTGAGCTTGGTCAGCATTCTCCTCTCAGCCACCACCTCCAGGGGGTCAAGGGTCATCCCCAACACAGAGCCAGCCTTTTTGATAAGTTTATTGAGCCTATTTGCATCTCTTGTCATGATGCTGCTGCCCCAGTGCACAACAGCGTAGAAGATGGCAGTGTAGCAGTGTTCCACACACACCAAAGGACCTGAGCCTCCTGAGGAAATAGAGTCGGCTCTGACCTTTCTTGTACAGGGCGTCAGTGTTACCAGACCACTCCAGCTTATCATCCAGGTGTACCCCTAAGTACTTGTAGGACTGTACCCCCTCTATGTCCTCACCCTGGATGGAAACAGGGTTCAGCGGAGACTTATTCCTTCGGAAGTCCAAGATCATTTCTTTGGTCTTGCTGGTGTTAAGCTGGAGATGGTTAAGATGACACCACTCCACAAAGTTGGTTATCAAGCTCCTATATTCCTCCTCCCTCCCCTCTCTAATACACCCCAGAATTGGAGAGTCATCTGAAAACTTCTGCAGATGACATGTCTCAGAGTTGTACCTGAATTCAGAGGTGTAAAAGGTGAACAGGAATGGAGCAAGGACAGTCCCCTGTGGAGCCCCAGTACTGCTAACAACCTGTTCGGACACACAGCTCTGTAGCCGTACATACTTTGGCCTGCAGGTCAGATAGTCTATAATCCAGGACACCAGGGGAGTGTTCACCTGCGCTGCCCTTAGCTTATCTCTCAGTAATGGAGAAGTCAAAGAACATAACTCTCACAATACTCCCCATCTTCTCCAGGTGAGAGTTAGCTCTGTGTAACAGATAGATGACTGCATCCTCCACTCCAAAGTGTGACCGGTAGGCGAACTGCAGGGGGTCCAGTGCTGTACTCACCAGGGTTCTGAGGTGGTCCAGTACAAGCCTTTCCAGTTTCCATCAGGTGTGATGTCAGTGCCACTGGTCTGTAGTCATTCAAGACTTAGGGTGCCCCTTTTTGGGTACTGGCACCAGGCAAGATGTCTTCAAGAGCATTGGAACCCTTTCTAATCTCAGGCTGAGGTTGAAGATGTACTGCAGCACTGAACCCAGTTGGTCTGCGCAGATCTTTAGCACCCTGGAGCTGACACCGTCAGGACCCGCTGCCTTCCCTGCATGGAGTCTCCTCAACTCTCTTCTGACCTGGTCAGCTGTGATGGATAGGCCGAGGAGGGCAGGGGAAGATGGAGTAGGAGTAGGAGGGATCTCATGATGGGGTGACTGAGGACATGAAGAGGGTGTCTGGGGTGAAGGCCTGTAAGGTGAATGGACTGTGGACCCTGTATTGAATCTGTTAAAGAAAAGATTCAGCTCATTGGCCCTCTCCAGGCCTCCCTGACTCTGTTGGGCGCCCGACAGCTTTATCCAGTGATCTCCCTGTGCCATTCCACACTTCTCTCACATTGCTCTTCATTAGCCTGTCCTCCATTTAACTCCCATAAGCCACCTTGCTCTCCCTAACTCTTACCTTCAGCTCTTTCTGCACTTGCTTCAGCTCCTCCTTGTCACCGGCCCGAAAAGCCCTCTTTTTCCTATTTAGGATGGCCTTCAGATCACTGGTGACCCAGGGTTTATTATTGGAGAAGCAGCGCACTTTCCTGGTGGGCACTGCACTGTCAACACAGAGGTTTATGTAGTCAGTGATGCAGTGGGTAAGACCATCAATGTCATCTCCATAAGGCTCACAGAGTATCTCCCAGTCTGTTGTTTCAAAACAGTCCATCAGTGCATCATTAGCCTAAGCTGACCATCTGGTGGTCACTGGTTGCTGTAGTACAAGAGGCTTGTACAGAGATAGGAGGCGAACAAGGTTGTCGTCAGATCTGCCAAGGGGGGGGAGTGATGTGGAGCTGTAGGCATTTTTGACATTAGCATACAGGAAGTCCAAAGTCTTCTTATCTCTAGTACGGCATTTAACAAACTGTCTAAAAGTAGGCAGAATAGATGAGAGCGAAACATGATTAAAATCGCCAGTTATCAAGAACATGGCTTGTGGGTGACAAGTCTGTAGTCCAGATGTAACAGTGTGTAACTGAGGCTGCGTCGGCAGAGGGCGGGACATACACCAGCACAACAATAACCTGGGAGAACTCCCTAGGTAGGTAATATGGCCGCAGGCTAACTGCTAGTAGCTCAATGTCTGGGGTGCAGAGCTGTTCTTTTAAAGTAATATGATTACAGTTACACCATCTGTTACTCACAAACACTGCTAGCCGTCCTCCTCTCTTTTTACCGCTCTCCTTGATTTTCCGATCCGCACGCACCATCTGAAAACCCTCTATTGTAGCGTTAGCGTCTGGAACCAGTTCGTTCAACCAAGTCTCTGTGAAGCACATAATAGAAGACTCACGATATTCCCACTGGCTCCTCGTCAGCGCCGCTAGCTCCTCCATCTTGTTGGCAAGATATCGTACATTCCCCATTATGATGGAGGGTAAAGAAGGTTTATACCTCCTTTTTTTAGCCTGACACGTTGCTCCGGATCTACAGCCTTTGCTCCGTTGTATTAGTTCTCTGGGGATCTCCAATCGCTCCCCCGAGAACACTGCCGACTTCCGTAACATGAAGAGCTGGTTTCGGGTCTAAACAAAAGAGCCCGGTTTGCCCGTAGTATACGCCGGTTTAAAAAGTTGCTCAGAGACCGTTGTAGCGGCGAGGCTTATTAATAAGAAAGAATTAAGTGTTCTGAGCCTTCCCAAATGAGGCCCCATTTCTCTGTTCATCTCTGTGGTGCAGCCACAGAGAAACCATTCATGCAAGATGTTTTCTTTTGATAAGGACAGCTCCCAAAGGGGGATGCACTTAGCTAAGCCTGGCTATCATGATCAATGGTCATCCATTGGCGCCTATCTGTCTAGGGAGTGCCAGTTGGACATCTGGACTGCATTACTAAGTGTCAGGACTAAGTGACTCATATCTCACCTTGATCAACCAATCAGGGACTGGTAGGGCCGAGTAACCCACGTGGGACTCTGATGCCCATGGAACTTTCAGCCAATCAATGAGCTGAAGTTCCTCCAGGTAAAAACAGGCAACACAGAGAGCCTGAGAGATTCAGATTCAGATTCAGATTCAACAATTCTAAAGGGAATTCAAAGGAGAATCCCAAGGGCAGGACATTCTCACAGCGCGCCTCCTGACCATCCTGAGACTCAGCCCGGACAACCACGGAACGGCCAGTGTGTCCGAGTGCCAGAACTTTCCTTTGTTCTAAGAGTCTAGAGTGGAGGTTGCCAGAGAGTAACCAGCAGCAGGCCTCGTGAACAGGTCGGAACTGTGGACAGCTGAATCACTATTCAGAACTAGCTCTTCATCAGGAACGAACCGGTCCTCTTCCTGACTTGCTGGGACCCACAGTCATCTTTTCTCCTGTGCACAAACTTTGCTAGTTAAAGCCAACAATGAGCTTCAGCAGCGCACCGTCGCAAGCCGCACAGCACAGCCTGGCACGGAGCCAGAGAGCGCGGATTGGACAGCAACAGCCTGCAACTGTTTCTTTGTGCCCGCAGGAGATCTAAATCCCCAAAGATTGGATGAGTATTCAACTTCAATTCATTACAGCTCGAGAATTCAATTGTTATCCAAACCAGTTGATATCAATTTAATTCCTAAGAGTTATGTACTTGTTTCGAGTATCTAATGTAGAAGTTGTAACCAAGTTCACTTTACGAAACGGTCTTAATGAATGATATACTGAACGTATGTCCTCTTGATATGTGTAACACTTCGTAACTGACTGAATATATATCTTTTGTATTCTGATAACCCTCTCGATAAGATCTGTTAGTTTTATATGCATATTCTATGTATTAATAAATGTATCCTCGTGTATTAGTACCTGTGTGTTTGCGTTGTTTGAGTTATGTCGCATGGTTGGATTCTAAAGCCATCAAAAGAATCAACTTTGTGATTTACTGCTACAATTAATAATTGTCTCAGTAAATGCCCAAAGCCTACAGAACTGGTGCCTTCAGAGAGCCACTATGATTACATATTTGGCTTCCCTGAACCGGTTTTCCCTACACCGTCATAACTCCGAGAGAGAGGGAGAAAAAAAAAAGAAAAGTTAACGATATCCCAAACTAAAACTAATGTAACTACCAGTAGTAACAACAAAAAGGACACACAAATCACAAAGTAACCGGAGCTGCTGCAACAGGCTGCCGCACTCACGACACCATATTGGAAATTCTCTAGCTGACAATTGGTACTACAAGCTCCATAGTGACATACAGGAGGTTCAATACTAGATGACAGCATCTTAAGTCTACAGGCTTCTAGGAATTCACCTAGGCACCTAGAAGTTTGTTTGCAAGAGTTTTGCCAGAAGCCGAGCAATCCCAGGATGACTAATCCCCAAACGACCTCTGGCAACACTGGGACAATTGTGTGTCTTGCCACATGGTCAATTTTCTCTCAATGGAATATAGCCATATTTACTGGCCAGTCAACCTTGTGCCAGTCTTTGAAAATCAGGGCTTTAATATCCTTATGTATACTCTTGCAAATCAATATAAAATATTTGAAAATGTACACATTTGAAATTTACACTACCAAAAAAGCTTTTTAAGACAACAAGTTACTCTAAAATAAAAACAATTTTGGTTCCACTTATACTCCAGTAAATTCTGCTTTTTTGACATTTGATATGATTGACTGGTTTCTCAAGTTATAGGAATCCATCAATACCAATGTTCAGCTAGTCCTTATTATTAGGTGAATGAATCACAATCCATCTCTATGTAGTCAACAGCCATACAGGATCATAGGACACCAAGAGGAGAGGTATTTTGAAGTTACTAGAGGGCAGCAGTATTCTGTAGCCATTAGAAAGAGGCTTTAAGGCCCTAAGTTATAGAATTTGTTATAAAAACCATGCACTTAATTAAAAATCAAATAAACTTTTTTTACTTAAATATCCAAAATGTAATGAAATACGAAATGCAGAAACTCAAAATGTGTATCCTTTTTAAATCTCAAGACAACACATCGCCTCCTAAGACAGGGGGTGAATTATTTTATGACAGAAATACTAACAAAGCATATGACTGAATTTGCTTTTATACAAAAAGCTGAATTTAGAGCTTGCACAAACTTTAACAGTGGAGTTTGTAAAATGGTTTTATTCTTGATTTTCCTGAAAAAACACTAAAACAGTAACACACGTTGACCTAGATGGTGTTTCCACAAGAGGTTTATAGTGGTTGTAAATATTCATTGCATGACTGGACAAGAGTCTGTCCACATTATTTTTTTCAGTACATTTGGACTTGCTGGGGAGGATAATATATCATACTGTTCTGTTTTTGAGGAATTTAATAAATAAAAACTGATCTACACAAAATGAACAAATGCAATTCAGAACAGCAAGGTACACTAGGCTACAGTTTACATTTTAATGTGCAGTGTAATTTTAATATATTGGACTGCAGAGTGTTTAAATTATGTTACATGTCCGAATTTGTCGGAGCAAAGACATTGATGCTTTTGTTGTTGGACAGAATTTCCCCTTCTGATGCCGAGTCCACAGTGAGTGAGCCTTCTAGTGGAAGGGAATCAGCTGAGGAGAGCACGAGACCCTCCATCACCCCAATCGATGGAAAGCAGCATCGGAAAACTGTCAGGAATGGCAAGTACATCATTTAACTTGAATTTGTATTAATGATCAACACTGGAAAAAAAAATGATTGAAAACAACTACTAAAGATACTTTCTTTCCTGCTAAAAGACTTCACAGTAAGTCCTGTCAGTTCTTCACCTTTCACTGTGATGCACTCTTCAGTCATATAAGTCATATTGCTTAAAATGTCTGGGTGGATTCTTAATCTTTATTAGACATTAATAAAATGTGAAAACAGGTAAACTGTGAACTTTAAAGCTATTGCTTACAGTGTCTCAGAAAAAACAAAGATTTAACATACAGTATTGTTTCTTTAAAGCCTGCAGTCTTGACACTTTGAAGTGTCATGTAATTGTGTTATATACTGTACTCAACCTGCTCCATACAATCATAGCAAAAAACAAAATATGTAAATAGATAATGTGTAGAAAAATGTGAGATTGCATTAAATATTCAGTGAATTTACAACAAACGTAAATTAATTTAGGTGCACGAGCTACAGATAATCGAGTGGCCTCTGTATGCAATAATAGTGGTTCACATGTTTTCACAATAAATGCACCTGATTCTGTAAGGTACAGTACCTCAGTAAGGTACTTTCAAACAAGGATTCAACTAGGGAGACCAAGGAGCTTTAAAAACACTCTGAGGGTTAAGTTGTGGAAAAGCTTAGATCACGCTTGAAAAATCAAATTATCCTTTGAGTATTGTAAAGTCAAACATTAAAACGTGACTTTAGACACTGGCTAGATTTGGCCATCTCTCCTGGGCAAGCAAGGGCAGCTGGGCAAGGAGGGAACTGATAAGAGATCCAAATATATGGCCAATGATAACTTTGAAAGAGTTCAATATCCCAGTTGCTTTACGCAGCTGGCCTGTTTGGTAGATTAAAATCCATCTCAAATCTTGTGTTTGCAGCAACAAAACATTTTTGTGATACCTCAAGTAGAAAAAGGTTTTGTGATCAGACAAGACACAATTGGAGTTTTTTTTCTCTAAACGCAACATCTGACACAAATCCAGAACAATACATCACTCAGTCAGCACCATCCCTACCATTAACCATGATTGGTTAGAGATGGGTTTTCCATTCTGACATACAGACCTGCTTCTCATCAGCAGATACTAAGAAGCTTATCAGGACTGATGACTTTGAGCAAAGTATTGGCAAATGTTAAGAGAATTTTAAGTGCTTTAGACTTAAAACTTAAAATTGGGACAAAATTCACCTTTCAGTAGGACAGTTATCCAAAGCTCAAGCCCAAAGCTAAACTAACTTGAATCCTATTGAAAACCCCCAGGAAGACTTGAAAACTGTAGTCTGTAAGTGACCCACAAGCAACTTGGGAGAGCTTGAGCAAATCTACCAAGAATGGGCAAAAATTGCATAGTGTGCAATTGCAAAAGTCAGTGTACAAATATCGTAGAGAGTAATCCATAAAGGCCTGCGGCCATAATTGTTACCAAAGGTACTTCCAACAAATATTGAGTTCACCCAATACTTATGCAGTCAACACATTTAATTTTTTTTTCTTCAGTTTTTCTGACTTTTTCTATAACATATATTAGTCTTCAGTTTGAGCACTCAGGCTATGAGTAAGATTATTAATTAAAAATGTATTAATCATTTTGCAATTTCACAAAATTGAACACCATAGAGGAAGGGTCTGAATATGTTTTCAAAACACTATATTTGCTGGTATGTGTTTCAAACAAAGAAATCTTATCTCATTCTCTAGACATTACTTTCATCTATTGACACTGTATTTTCTTTTTGCTCTCAGGAAAAAATAAAATTGGTAAGATTTTTTTCACTATTAACTTCCTTTGTTGATAAAGTAAAACATTGAAAATGTCAAGACATTTGGGTTATTCTATTAAAATTAACAGCTATGTCAGTCTTTCCTCATTTGAACCACAGAATGTGTTAATGAAGGTGTCTGCTACAATTAGTAACCATTAACCAATACAAGTTCTGTTAACGTAAAACATGAAACCAATATGATGCCTTGACTCAAATCTGCAATTTTGTGTAAAATACAATAGTATTTCACAATTAAGAAATAGAATAGTTACAATGGTGAATGTCATTAATATGTAAATTGCCTACCTGTGTATACACTCAAACACGTGACTTGCATATTACGGAGCATGCCTTGAGCCTTTTAAAAACCAAAACATTTCATATATACTGTATAGTGTAACGTTTTCGGGTTTGGCGAGGACTGACACAGTAATTCTGACTCTCGGAGTCGGAGAGGAACAGCGCTTTTATTTTTCGGACGGGCGTCCGGCACAGCAAGCACAACCAAAGCGCCCATGCACAAGCAGAGAGAGAGCGAGAGAGCCAGAGAGAGAGCACAACACACTGGGGTCTATTCGGGTAGTTACACAGGGATAGGGTGGCAATTGGGTACAAGTATAAAAGGGGTGCGAAACCAGGGAACTATTTACATTTACAGGCGATGTCACCACTTTGTACACCCATTTTACAATGGATCAGCTTCACTGGTCAGTGGTTTTCCTAGTCCCCACCTTGACAACTACATGTACTACTACCGTCCTGCTCCTTGCTGTGTACCCCAGCCAGGCACTCTTCTGCCGCAATGCCAGGCGAAGGCTGTACAATAGCATTGATTACACTTAAATGTTTTAGCTTTTAATATTAGAACAGTAATTAATACTGCTTACGGCACACTGTATTTATTGCCGGTATTTCATCAGTTGTTTTATGAAAGATACTGACAATAGCAGCAGGACTTTTGGCCTGGAGTTATGTTACTGTAGGTTCTGTTGGTGAATGTTGCCAAAAAATACTCTACCTACTGTATAATACATCTTTTATCTAAACACCAAACCAATACCTGATACTCCAAAGACCAATTCCATTCAATTAGTAACAAGCATTACCCTGTCTGCAGTCGAACACTTTGTTATACTGTGTATTGTAGCTCTCAAATCCCAAAGAAAATACTGTACGCTACGCCCCCTGATGGAAAAGGGTAGTAGAAGAACATTAAAAGGTCATATTGTGTTGGGATTAAAAGTTGCATGAAAAACACACATAGAGGTCACTTTTTGGTTCTAGTTATATTAATCTCTTTTACAGGCAGAAAGAGATGTTTATCATATCAAGTACTGTACAGTGTTCATCCTTGTTATTTTAGGACTCTTAGGTTATAAACATTGAAATGTATTGTTCTTTCAAAAGCATTTTCTCTGATTTTCTAAAAAGGCAAACAAGGGCAGCTGAAAGGTCGATATGTCCCCCCATACTCGTCTCTCAATTACAGAGGTTTTCCATCGCATGTGTGGATTTAAAATCTTTGTTTTTCATGCTAACAGCATTGACTGTTCATATGATGATAGAGCAAAACATTGCAACAGCCTAGCCATTAAGATATTAAATAACCCACAACCCAATGCCCTGCTTTTAAAACTTTTTAGAATACTCTTCCCCTTTAAAATTCAGAAATGTCATTCTGTTGTAAAATTACGTTAGAATTTCTTCAGATATTTGTACCTGTAGCCTCAAAATGTAGTTTTGGATACTACAAAGAGTATTTATTATGTTTATGCAACCAGTTATTTACCTATGTTATAAATAAGTTTAATTTAGATACATTCTTTATAAAGACCAAATGAATGAACACAGATTTAACAGAAATGATAGCATATTCCCTTTATATTCATTTTTAAATTTTTCACAAGAACAGACAATCTTTTATCTTACCATTTATGTTCGACAATAGTGTAGGAGAATGCTTATTTCTACGCAGTTAAAAGTATAATCTGAATGAATGAGATAGGGTGACCCAGTGGCAAATGAGCAATATTGTACTTTTGCACATTTACTTTGCTATCTATTTTCAGATTAATGCATGAAACACATTCTAACATAAAGTAGAATCATCCAAATGCATTATCCAGTTTAATTTTGTTTTTTTCCATTTGAAAAATACATGGATATATACAGTACAGAATAAATCATGTTTATTTGATTAGACTTGATTTTCTCTAAATCTTTTTTTTAGATTTATATTGCTTATAGACACAGAATTCAATTAAATTATAAGAATTTGTACTTTGGAGAGACTATTCTACAGAAACATATTGAGATATATATCAAGACATCTGCATCTCAGCTATGTGATTGACAGCTGTTAAGATTCTTCAGTTGCTGCCAGGTTTGGTTGGATGTGAGTCTGCCAAGCTAGCAGTGTACACCAATGTGATATGCATGCACAAACTGAGCTTACAGTGCGTCAGTGTCAATTCTCCTATTGAATCTAACTCTGCTGTAAGTACTTAAGGGCTCACATTCTCACTAAACACAGTCATTAACAATTCCTATTTCCATATTCAGGAGAAATAAGAAAAAAATATGCAATATGCGAACCTTCAAAGATTCGGATTGTGAGATGCATTTACTCATAACTCTGCAGTGCATATTTATGCACATACTGTATACAGTATTTGGGCTGAAAAACAACACTATGGAAAAACCTTTTGCAAAAGGTTTTTCCACATCTTGAAAATACTGATGAATTTCTGATTTGCTATAGGAACTGGAAGTCAAATGAAAGATGAAGATAGCTCATACTTCTTAATTTACATAAAATGCATGTGTAAAAAGAGCACAGTACTTTTTGGGTGTTCAAAAACTTTTGTTAGTGATTGCTTGGAATTTCACAGTTCTGATGATAATCTTGTGTACATCCCTGAAAGCAGGTCCTCCACAGATGAATGGCACAGAGGAGCCACTTTCCTCTGCCTCTATATTTGAGCACGTTGATAGAATGTCTCGCACATCTGAGGCAACCAAACGGGTTTCCAACAAGATCCAGCTGATTGCCATGCAGCCCATGCCCGCTTCACCACTTCACAGCACGGCAGTTTTGGAGAAAGTGTCAGAAACTGCCAAAATCAACAAGGAGGTGAGTCTTGGCGTCAAGGCAACATTGATGCAGGAAAATGTTTGGCTTGTTAAAGACCTGTATTTCTTAAAACAGATTAGTTTTCCAGTCTGACAGGAAGGATGTAGAACATGTTTTTTTTTTACAAGATTTAGAGACAGAACAATTTGAGTATTGTACAGTATTTAGTATAACTATTGTGCATCATACTATGAACTTGAATATAATTATTGTTAATGTTATCAACTTATTACATAAAAATAATATAAGAAAGATTTAGAACCTGTGTCATGAAACCCCTAATTAACTGTACAGATGTACAGTACTTTGCATTGCCTCTGTGTGTATTGTGTATGTTCCTATACACCCACTCCTCAGGTTACATAACAGCTGAATTCCACATGTCTGTACATAACCCGAAAGGAACTCTTTCATAGCTGTGGCACGAATATTTATAGAGAATTATTAATCATGATATTATACAGTATAGTGTATAATCATACCCTCTTCATCCTGAGGGTTGTGGAAAACTGGAGCCAGACCAAGCAGACACAGGACAGCAGGGCAGATACACAAATACAAGCACAATGGGACAATTTAGCGAACCCATTTAACCTAGCCAGCATATCTTGGAAGGTTGGAGGAAAACATGTTTATAACATGTTTACACAGCTTAATAACTATAATCCATAACCTTTAGCACTCCTTGTATTATTATCATCAATAACACTAAGAATTTACAGAAAAAAATACAGAAACCTTTATCAAACTTTTTTGACTAATAGTACAGTATATCTGTGATTGTGAGTTCCAAATTTTCATTGTAAAGATTTGTGCAGTAAATAGCTTTCTTATCCTTTCATTTAATGGAGTCAGTGTTTGCTTTCATTTTAGATACAGACAGCATTGAGGCACAAGTCCGAGATTGAACACCATCGGAATAAGATCCGTCTAAGAGCTAAAAGAAAAGGACACTACGACTTTCCGGCCATGGATGACATTGGTATCGTGGACTCCAGGGAGCACCGCCGTATCTATCAGAAAGCTCAGATGCAGATTGACAGGATCCTGGATCCTGAAGTGCATGTGCCTTCAGTGTTTATAGAATCCAAGAAGAGGTTAGAGATTCACTTATTCACTGCCTGTCATAATTAAAGCATCTCATTACCTTAGGTAAACTGTTTTTTCTGTTGCTTAAGACACTAATTAATTCTGGGTATTCATTCTGTTTTAGTTTTATAATAACATTTTTATAAGAAATATTTTTGGATCTCTCAACATTTAATCTTTTTTCTGAAGGAGATGCTTAACAACACAATTCCAGCTAATATAGTGAGGAGATTTTCTCTTTAAAATTTGCTAGGAAGAATACAAACACATAAGCTAAGTAGGACATAAATAGGTTTGTCCCAGTTTTTTTCCAGCTGGAGAATACCAAGTAGGCTGTATGTTCAATGGACCTCTGAAGCTATTGAAGAGATGTTGCTGAAATATTATTTTTAACTATTCATAAATAAATTAAATCTTAAAGACAAATGCATCATTTTGAAAAAGATTAAATATTTTACTATATTTATTCCCATTTTTCCTATACAGGATGGAAGATGAAGGCTTAGTGGTATTCTGTCAATAGTGTAGTTTAAATATTTTTATGTTTTTTGTGCTAGAGTGCAAAAAGATTCAAGATATTTTTCTTTTCAAGAGCAATAGATTATGTAAAATCAGCTATGTTTCTGTGTGATAAACACTTGCATCTGGCAAAAAGAATGTATATTTAAAAATTATTGCAGATAATGTACTTGTCCCTGTAGAACCATCGAAGTTGCCTATATTACATACGGTATACAGTATATTTAAGTATAACACTGATCATGTAAATAATATCATTTAAAAAGAAAACCGCTTGTGATTTACAAGTATATATCGCAAAAAGTCACTCTTGTACCTTCATACCCCCTTCAGCCGTCTCCTTTTTTCATGGTGTATCCTCTGCAATAAGCATCTGGATCTGTAAAAGTTTATACTTTATGTCTTATGTTTTTTGTAATCAACTGTTTTTTCATCCAATCCATGTGTCTTACTGGCAGGAACTGGCTGTAACAGTTTGTAGATGCCTTCAGACTGCCAAACTTACTCACTTTTCACAATCCATAACTGGTGAAGGGAACCTGTCCCAGGCTTTCTGTACAGTACTGTATGTGAAAAATATGTGGCATAGCCAAGTGATAAAACGACCTGTTAGTTGTTAATATTGTGTTCTAGTTCCTGATAACTTTACACAACATTTTGATAGACACCCAAAAGAAGTAATAGTACCCAGTAATAGTAATAGTACCAAAAAGAACAAGAGTAATAAGAGACTTCAGGCAAATTCTTCTCTTCCTTCTGATAAATTTTCTATAGAGTGAGATCAGAATGTTGTACTGTTTGAGCACAACAGGATATGGCTTTGCTTGTAATGCTCTTAGGATCACTGTAGCTGCCTCTGTCCCTTCACTTACATTGTTTTTGGCTTGAGAGAGGATGTCTTGCCATAATATTTCATGTACAGTAAGTACTGTAAATACATGCAGATACAGTACTTCTTTTTACTTTTTGATCTCCTGCATTGTGTTTTAAGATGTACTGTATTTATTCTCCCCATACTTTCAACTGTTTGCCGTTTTTTTGCCATTTTAGCTTACTTGGCCTCTGTTCCATTTTGACATAGTTTCAGCTTCCACACAATATTGTGCAGTAATGGTTCCCAACTCAGGTCCTGCTTCAGTCTTGAGCCTGGCTGTTGCTTTTCCTTCTTCTATCCCAGACCTCACCTTTGCTTATTGATGCTTTTTGCTGACCTGATTACTTTTTTAAAAGTATCGTTTGTCTGTTCTTGCACACAGTCCTTCTAACAAGTTTAATAATAATAATTAATAATTGCTTATTATTTAATTCAAAATGGGTGAGGTATTTCGCGGCATACCCCGGTGGGCGTGTCGCGGTATCACGCGGTATCACGCAGTATCACGCGTCATTTGACGCTCTGCCGGAAACTATCCGGCGTCACCTTGTAAAACCGCCAGGGGGAGCTTAACCTCTCATGTACCTGTACAGCATTTGAGCCTTTAATTTTGAACTGTGTATTACAGCATGTTAATCATACTATGAACTTGAATATAATTATTGTTAATGTTAAAAAGTTTACAGCACAGTACAATAATAAATGCTGACCATGACTTTAGAAGAACAAATTACCTAACACTCAATTTAAACACAAGCTGTCTTTCTGTATGATCCTCTAAGCTGGTTCATACAGAAAATGTAGAAATGCATTAGCCTGATTATGATTAAAAAACACATAATTAAACACACGTTTGCGATTTAAATCAGAACACGATTTAAATCAATATAAATGTTTATATTGTAACGCATACTGTCCAGCCTCCATTTCTCTATAAAAATTTACTCTGTTGCACACACACGCACAATAGAAGCAGGAACCGCTGTCAGAAGGGAAGAAGGTGACTATTCATTGTTATCAAAAATGACTTAGAATCGATCATGTTCCGATATTTTGAAATATAAAAGTCAATTGATTGTCCATAATATCACTATTCTATTTTTTCGAAGAAATGTTTGTTAAAAGAAAAGTCCAACACCAGCTGGATTCGAACACACAACCTGTGCGTTGTTAGTCACGCACGTAGACCAGTAGGCTACAAGACAACTGACATGCGCAGGGAGGCGAAACAGCCCTACACAGCCCTGTCGCAGTACACGAATATAATCATGCCATTATTAAATTCTTTAGATACGCGATTCCATATTATATTGGCAGAAAAGCTTAAAACGACCACTTTTTCACACGCTATTTCACATGCTAGTTAAATACTTCGATGCTTAAAATCGTTAGGGAGAAATGGAATACCGGTGTGTATTTTTCCTTTAAAGTACCGATTCCTGGAATCTGACTGGCTGACACCCTTCTGAAGTGATTCCATAAAATCTGGTATACGGAAAAGAAAGCGTTGATAAATACAAGTGTCTTTTAATACACTCTTTGCTGTGCTCTTGAGGATCCTTGTGATATTTTGAGCTCTAGTTGAATGATAAGTGTCGCATTTTAAATCATTTTCATAGTTAGAAATTATAAACACCCTGTTAAAAGCAAGGAAGTTTTTATGCCAGTTGAAGTAAAACAAAATGCCTGAAAAAGTATGGCTTTGACAGATTCCAAGTGCTTGTACAAATGTGCTAAAGAAATTATACTTTGAGTATACAGCTTGTCCAAAGCCATCCATTATTAATACTATTAGTAATATCTTCAGTAAAGGCTTTGATGCATAAATATTTCTGATAAAGGTAGGTTGTGTACTTTTGTCCAACTGAGCAATCTTGCTTTCATAAAATATACCAACATTTTAATGACTGATGATTAACATGCTGTAATACACAGTTCAAAATTAAAGGCTCAAATGCTGTACTGGTACATGAGAGGTTAAGCTCCCCCTGGCGGTTTTACAAGGTGACGCCGGATAGTTTCCGGCAGAGCGTCAAATGATGCGTGATACTGCGTGATACCGCGTGATACCGCGACACGCCCACCGGGGTATGCCGCGAAATACCTCACCCATTTTGAATGGCTGCATCTGTAAGCAATTATTAATTATTATTATTAAACTTGTTAGAAGGACTGTGTGCAAGAACAGACAAACGATACTTTTAAAAAAGTGATCAGGTCAGCAAAAAGCATCAATAAGCAAAGGTGAGGTCTGGGATAGAAGAAGGAAAAGCAACAGCCAGGCACAAGACTGAAGCAGGAGGACCTGAGTTGGGAACCATTACTGCACAATATTGTGTGGAAGCTGAAACTATGTCAAAATGGAACAGAGGCCAGGTAAGCTAATATGGCAAAAAACAGCAAACAGTTGAAAGTATGGGGAGAATAAATACAGTACATCTTAAAACACAATGCAGGAGATCAAAAAGTAAAAAGAAGTACTGTATCTGCATGTATTTACAGTACTTACTGTACATGAAATATTATGGCAAGACATCCTCTCTCAAGCCAAAAACAATGTAAGTGAAGGGACAGAGGCAGCTACAGTGGTCCTAAGAGCATTACAAGCAAAGCCATATCCTGTTGTGCTCAAACAGTACAACATTCTGATCTCACTCTATAGAAAATTTATCAGAAGGAAGAGAAGAATTTGCCTGAAGTCTCTTATTACTCTTGTTCTTTTTGGTACTATTACTATTACTGGGTACTATTACTTCTTTTGGGTGTCTATCAAAATGTTGTGTAAAGTTATCAGGAACTAGAACACAATATTAACAACTAACAGGTCGTTTTATCACTTGGCTATGCCACATATTTTTCACATACAGTACTGTACAGAAAGCCTGGGACAGGTTCCCTTCACCAGTTATGGATTGTGAAAAGTGAGTAAGTTTGGCAGTCTGAAGGCATCTACAAACTGTTACAGCCAGTTCCTGCCAGTAAGACACATGGATTGGATGAAAAAACAGTTGATTACAAAAAACATAAGACATAAAGTATAAACTTTTACAGATCCAGATGCTTATTGCAGAGGATACACCATGAAAAAAGGAGACGGCTGAAGGGGGTATGAAGGTACAAGAGTGACTTTTTGCGATATATACTTGTAAATCACAAGCGGTTTTCTTTTTAAATGATATTATTTATTATTTATTTCTTTTCCACCACCACCAGTGTGCAACACCCACCTGAATGATGCAACAGTAGCCATAGTGCACCAGAACACTAACCACACATCAGCTATCAGTGGGGAGGAGAGCAGAGTAATGAAGCTAATTCATAGGTGGGGATTATTAGAAGGCCATGATTGGTAAGGGCCATTGAGAAATTTGGCCAGGACACCAGGGTTACACCCCTAGTCTTCGAGGATCACCCTGGGATTTTTAATGACCGCAGAGTCTCGTCTCAGTTTACGTCTCATCCAAAGGACAGCGCCTTTTTACAGTATAGTGTCCCCATCACTTTAATGGGGCATTAGGACTCACACCAACTGCACGGTGAGAACCCCCTGCTGGCCCCACTGATACCTCTTCCCAGGGAGGTCTCCCATCCAGGTTCACACCTGCTTAGCTTCAGGGGGCTGCCAGTGGTGAGTTGTAGGATGATATGGCTGCTGGCATAGTTAAGCATTATAACCCCAAAAGCTTTAATTCTACACTTACATCAAATGCATTTTAATTTGGAATTACACAGGAAATGGCAAAAAATGTGAAGGGAGGAGAAACAGTCACTATTTCTGTTCCAAGTCAATTCCAAGACAGCACACACAAGTTGCTTCCGTAGCCAACAGAGTAGTGCGTGTTGGTGATGATGTTTTAGTACTAGTATCTTTTTATAATGTATTGTAACCTTGTTGAAATGCTATTGTTTTTCCTCCATGGTACTAATAGGTTTCTGGAAAAAAAGAGGCCAGATTAAAATTAAAGTTTTGAGTAGTGATTTGAATGACCTTGTTGGTTGCATACTGTGTTTAAATGTAGCTTATTAATGTAGTTAATAATGTTTGGAAATATTATTATACTTCAGTTATTTTTATCTACAGCTACCGAAATTCCCTTTAGTTACATGATTCCATATTAATATTGCATGTGAAGGATTTAGTAGTACAACAGATTAGATAAAGCTACTGTTTCACTAACGTTTTACACACCGCATGTGGCACTAAATTCAGCATGCTGAAACACACTGCACTATACTGTACCTTGCTTACTGCTGAAACATATTTTGACATGCATTCTAGATGGCTGCATTTTTAAACCAGGTGGTGTTACCATTCACCGTGTGGGGTATGGAATGAGACAACCTTAATCTAACCTGTAGTACAAGATAATCCCTTTCTCAGTTGATCCCATTGGACCGTCTTTTTTACTTTATTGGCAGCCTGACACAGCAGCAACTGAGTTGGCTGCTACAGTACTTACAGTATACAGTATTTCTACATTTCTCCACCTCAGAGCTATATAATATAGTGCCTAACCTGACAGCATTAGAACTGTTTCTCTACACTGCACCAACTCACTTTTGAGTAGACAACCCTTGAAACCTGTATTTAACCCAGCACAACCTTATACTGAGACACAAGTAACCTTCTTTTTAAGATATACAGTAGATATATACTGTATATTCATATCCATTTTTTCATACACATTTTCTTGATCTTTCCACATACCCATTTCGCACACAAAAGTGTGTTGCTCAGCTTGCCTGAGAGAATGTGCATTCATGATTTTCTTGGCTCTCTAGAAAGCCCTTTTTACCTACTGTATGTAATGTGCTTTGCTTTCTTTGCAACTAACACTAACTGGTTACACAGATAAAATGATCACATAGGAAAATGTTTTTTTGATGGATTAATATGTGGAAATATAAAAAATTCCCTCTCTATAACTTTATTAAACTATAATTATGTTAACCTATGATTCTTTTAGTGCAAGAGGAAAACGTTCTCCAAAGCAGAGAAGAAAGCATCAGGTCAACGGCAGCCTAACAGATGCAGATAAAGACAGACTGATCACCACAGACAGTGATGGAACATATAAGAAGCCCCCTGGAGTCAACAATGTAGCTTACGTTGTAAGTCACTTTCTTTACACTCTATAACACCAGGTCTTCAAGAACAGAAAGGTTTCCATGCTTTCATGGTGTCCTAAATCAAATTTTGTCCGAAATCCCAATATTGTTTTTTAAATCACATTCTATGTAATATCCATAGTTCCTTAGTAAAAAGTTAACAAATAACTAAATTACATTTTTCCACACTGTATTTCACAAAATATTTAACTTCATTAAAGTAATAGTTGCAAGTTAGGTACTTAAAATGTAATTGAATTACAGCACTGCTGTAGAAAATATTAATTTGTTTATTAGTTAGGATAATTCTGTTTTTCTTACAAGATGGAGCTGGGAAAATCATGTTAGACCTTGTTTTTCATTGCTTGGGTGTCACGAACTGTTCTTTCCAGAAAAAGTCATGCAGGAGACAGGGGCGTGTCCTTGGTGCGCTGGTGTACGGGGAAGGTGTGGCCGAGGCAAACAATCCAAATAATAAGTCCATAGGCGAATTCCAAAAACACAAGCAAAAGTCCATGGCCAGGTGATCCATCCAAAACTAAGGATTAAAATCAGGAACCGGGTCAGAACTGGCAAGGGGAACAGGAACAGGCATAGAAACTTAAATTTCTATGCCTTAAATTCTTAAATTCTAAACTTAAATTTCACATCTTAACTGTGACAAGACTGAAGTCATGCTTATTGGTACCCCCCATCAACTTCGTAAAGCCAGTCCTGTAACCGTATCCGTAGATGGGTCTGTACTTAAGCTTCAATCAAAATTGAAAAACCTTGGGGTTATATTCGATTCTGGCTTAACATTCGACCCACATGTACAGCATACTGTCAAAACATCTTTTTTTCACCTTAGAAATATCGGAAGACTACGCCCTATGCTGTCATTAACTGTGGCTGAAAAGCTGATCAACATATTTGTATTCTCTCGAATTGAATACTGTAATGCTCTTTCGCTGGGGTATCTAAATCTACTCTGAACAAACTGCAGTATGTCCAAAATTTAGCAGCCAGAATCCTGACCAGGTCTAGTGCAAGTGTTCACATTACTCCTATCCTGGAGTCCTTGCACTGGCTACCGGTCAAATTCCGCGTAGACTTTAAAATCCTCATGCTCACCTATAAGGCTTTACATGGCTTGGCACCTCAATACCTGTCTGAACTTTTATCGCCCTACTCCCCACCTCTCAACCTCCGCTCTTCAAATTCTGCCCTCCTTACTGTCCCCCAAGCCTGTCTACATTGTATGGGCGACAGGGCCTTCTCCTGCTATTCCCCCAAGCTCTGGAACTCTTTGCCCAAGGATATCAGAGAGTCACCTTCTCTAAACTCCTTCAAATCCAGACTCAAAACCTTCTTCTTCAGAAAAGCCTTTACTTAACTGGTTCCATTCTTCACCCCTCTGCTCTTCTTAATACCACCTTCCACGGTCTCCTCTATTGTTATTGTTTTATTGTTGTAATTAAAATTGTGTCCTACCTTGTGAAATCTTCTTATTTATTGTTGTAGTCTTCTTATTTATTGTTATTGTCATCCTGTAAAGTGCTTTGAGAAGCCACCTTTAAAGGCGCTACTGTATATAAAATAAAGTTTATTATTATGATTATTATTATTATTATTATTATTATTATTATTATTATTAAAAAACATAATGGAGCCAGGCTTCCCTGGCTTTTAAGGGAAGCTGGAAGGAGGCTAGAACAAGGAACAGGTGCGGGGAATGAGGCTAACAAGGAAGAGCCGGAGTGCCTTAAGGGGGAGAGACTACAATCGTGACATTGGGGTGTTGCAGTTTTTATCTAATTTGTTCTATATATTGAAGAAACTATATAAAAACTGTTCTGTATTGGTTGAGTTCAGTATTCAAAATGTGGGATCAGTCTGAATATGTAATACATTGACTGATATTATTCAGAGAATTAAAAACATACGTTTATTGTATTTTACTTTAACCAGAGTGCGATCAGCTTCTACCTTAATTGCAAAGGTAGAGATTAATAATAATAACTCCTTACACTTATATAGCACTTTTCTGGACACTCCACTCAAAGCAGTTTTGCAGGTAATGGGGACACTGCCGGGCTGTGAAGTGGTGAAGCTGGCATGGGCTGCATGGCAATCAGCTGGATCTTTTTGGATTACTTTTTTAAACTTATCGTTTGTCTTTTCTTGCATACAGTCCTTCTAACAAGTTTAATAATAATAATAATTAATAATTGCTTACACTTATACAGTATAGCACTTTTCTGGACACTCCACTCAAAGCACTTTACAGGTAATGTGGATCCCCTCCACCACTATCAATGTGCAGCATCCACCTGGATGATGCGACGGCAGACATAGTGCACCAGAACGCTCACCACACAGCAGCCACTGTATTAGTGGAAAGGAGAACACAGTAATGAAGCCAATTCATAGAAGGGGATTATTAGGAGGCCATGATTGATAAGGGCCAGTGGGAAATTTGGCCAGGATGTCAGGGTTACACCCCTGCTCTTTTCGAGAAATGCCCTGGGATTTTTAATGACCAGAGAGAGTCAGGGCCTGGGTTTTACGTCTCATCCGACGGCGCCTGTTTACAGTATAGTGTCCCTGTCACTATACTGGGGCATTAGGACCCATATGGACTGCAGGGTGAACACCCCCTGCAGGCCCCACTAATACCACTTCTAGCAGCAACCTTAGTTTTTCCCAGGACGTCTCCCATCCAGGTACTGACCGGGCTCACACCTGCATAGCTTTAGTGGGTTGCCATCTGTGAGTTGCAGGGTGATATGGCTGCTGGCAACTGCTGGCTATTGGCTGTCAAGAAATACAGTAAATCAGAGATACACTGGGTTGATGGTTACATAATATGAGATTCTTTGCATCTATATCTACTTGCTTGTTTCCTTGCAGTCGGACCCTGACCAAGCTCCCGAGCCCAGGAGCCCTTCCCCCCAAGACAACGAAGTGTTTGTTGGATCCCCTCCTCCGGGCCATGCACCACCTCCCCCTGCGTATGTTCCTCCACAGCCCTCCATTGAAGAGGCTCGTCAACAGATGCACTCCCTTCTGGACGATGCTTTTGCACTGGTAGCGCCCACATCACAAGGAACCACTGCTGGCATCACTCTCCCTGGTGTGACTTCAGGCCCACTGAGCTCTAGTCCCCCACCAAGGACCTCCAGAGGAGCAGGCATGGGCCAGTGGGGTTCACCTTACACGGCTGCTCAGGGACTCAGCCCCTTCTCTGCGGTAAGGGACCAAATGTGCACTGAGACACAGGGGGTTCTGTTGTTTGACTGGTAATAACCTCCTGAGGGATATGCCTTATAACCTTTAAATCAATTCAAGAGCAGCCATGGTTAAGTTTGAGTAAAGCTGAGGCTCAGCCTTTTGTATATTGCTGTACAGCCATGATGCCATGTGACATGTACAAGGCACACTGCCATCCCATCCCACACTGGGATGCTGCCATCCCAGCCAACTAGACAATGTAGTAGAATACTGTATAAATATTATTATTGTTAATAATAATAATAATAATAATAATAATAATAATAATAATTATTATTATTATTATTATTATTATTATTATTAGTAATAATAATACATAGTATTTATTATTATTAAATAGTATTGTACCGTATAATAGTAAATTGCTTTGGGATTATGTACCACAAAAGTAATTATATAAAAAGGGTGTTGTTGTTGTTGTTGTTGATATTAGTGTTTTAATGTCACATCGCACAAACAAAGGTTTGCAAAACTGTTGTGGCAATGCAGATTTGCCAGACTCCAGGGCATATTACCAAAACTTTGTTCACAGGATCTTATCCAGCTGTTTCTTGAAAGAAACCTGGGTGTTGGTTAAATTGTCATATAGCATTGTTCTAGCAGTCAGACATACTGCATACTTCCAATTGCTATACTCTTTTAGCTTTAGATTTTGTTACATCTGAGATAATGTTCATTGTATTTGACTATACTATATTTTCTTTTAAAAAATATTGATTTATGACACATCAAATTGTTAATAGAAGAGTCAACATTTATAATCAATATTTATATTTTAAGTAGGATTTCAGGTAAAATTGATGAGGTTAGGAGAATCTGTCATTCTCTTTGAAGACTTGTGAAGACTAGTAAAACAAATGATGTCACACAGCAATGTAACATTGAAACATTGGCACAATTGGAAGAAATACATAAAATCAAAAATAATCAATAAAAGGAACGTATATACTTTTAATTTACCTAGTATTGTTTATTTTTACCATTGCTTTGTCTTTTATTTATAAATGTGTTGATATAAACTGTATTTATTTACTGTATTTTAGAGGTATGCTGAATTAGGAATGTCTCCTCCCTCAGTTCAAGGGTTACTACAAAGGTAGGAAAATTAAGTCTATTTCTCTTACTAGGTGGAACAATTTACAAAGTTGTCATTAAATCCAGGGAACTAGCATACTAGATCAACTTTTGCTGGGCTTGGATTACAAACAGAAATATATGAGAGAGCAGTAAATTGTTTTGATCATTTGGCTTCAAAAAAGCATTGTTATTTTTTATGCTTCACTCACAGAAAGTATTAGGAATGACCATTGTCATGACTAACAAATCATTAGTGTGATCCACAAAATGGGTCTGCTACCTGCAGTTCCCTTTTTATTGTAACAAAAATTATTGAAATACTATAAAGATTTGGCTTGGAAAAACAATATGTTTTAATTAAAAAATGATGTGTGCTCCTGGTGGAGTAATGTTGAACCATTCTCTTTTCAGTCTGTTCTCTTTTCACAAGATATAGAGTGATATCAATAATAATGTATACAGTTCTTGATAAAAGTTAAAATACATGAACTCTTTAGAATTTTCTTTACAACCATTTTTATAATTGTCAGTAAGTTTTGTTTTTGCATTAAATTCTTCTGCTGCATTAGTGCATTTTATAATTCAGCATACTGTATATATTTTTCAAGGGGAACCTTTTTCCAAAGTGTCTGGTTTATTTGAATGGAATTTGAGTGCTTTATGATTAATAAGTGCTTTATTGTTAGGTGTTATAAAAATGTTTATGTTATATTTAAACCTGTATAATTAAGTTTGAGAAGTAAGTATAAAAAACCAAATCGTAGTGCTTTTACCATGATTAGTGTTTGTAGAATTACCTTTGGGGAGGGTGTGAAGGTTGCCTCAGCAGTGACGGGTTTGTTTTTCCACCATGACACTTTCCAGTAGTAAATGACTTCATATGATATACATCACTGAATCCAGTCTAATGCTGCATTGTGGTCATATTTACAGCTCATATCTTATAGCTCATTTTATGTGCTATAAATACAATTAAAACGGATATAAAACAACACATTAAATTCCCAGACTCAGCAACACACTATTAATTAATTTCTGACTTAAATGGGTACATCCTTACTCAGTGCACAAACGTACTGTGAAAGCAGTTTTGCACAATCTTACTTTCTTCAATTCCACAATTAATTGTTACAACTTATATTTTTTTTCAAATAGTTGAATGTATGTATAATGACCTCAATTTGTTTGATGTGTTTTACCAGGCAGGGTCTTGGTTCAGGCTACCTGCAGCCTGGAGAACCTGGGCGGTCTGAGCCACCCCAGACAGAGGGACTGTACTCTGGTAGAGGAGTCTACAGTGAGGAGCTGCCCTCGTCTGCAAGGCCTCGTCCTGTCGGAGGAACTACAGGTATCTGTCACACCTTTGTAGAAGAAAAATGACAACTTAATTGGGTTCTAAAGGTCACATGCCTACTTTTCATCCCAAACTAGATTAAAATTTTGAAGTAATACATACAGATGCAGCCATTCAAAATGCGCGGGCGATACCGCATTATTTTCCGGTGCGCTGTACGCAGTCTACCGCGAGTTACCGGTAAATACCGCGAGTTACCGGTAAATACCGCGAGTTACCGGTAAATACCGCTAGTTACCGTAAATTCTCCTATAATACCGCAAGCAAAATAATAGTATACAGAATTTCCACAAGGTGGAGCTAATAAAGCTCAGCCTCTCATGTTTGAGCTGTCGCCATCAAAGTCTTTAACGAAGATATTACTAATAGTATTAATAATGTATGACCTTGGAAAAGATATAAGTGTAAACTAATAGTATTGCCCTGGTCCACATTCTTTTTTTCATTGACCGTCTTTGTAAAAGTAACACTACAGCATTTCGCAATCAAGCATTTGTTTCCAATTATGCAAAGTACAGTAATTTTTGAGAATCGATTCACCATGCCTTTCACATGCTCATAAAAGAGATTGATTTAGGAACATAAACATATTACCGTATGCAAACTGTACTGTATACAGTATGTATATGTATATTTAATGTC